AAAACAAATTTATACTAATTTATTTCCAAACCACATCAAATCAACCATATGTTAGCGATATTTGTTTTCAATGTGACTTCCTACTTGGCTGTTTGGCCATATAACCCACGGCTTCGAAGTGACCATTGCAAAATGATCTGTCGCTGCGAGTGGGCAGATTACCAAACGTCTTGGCTTCGAGATGGGAAACTGTTTTGCCAGAAGAACCAGTCGCATACTCAGGTAGTTCAAAGTCGGGAAGCCTGGGGGTTTTGAGTGAATGAACATATTTGATCAAATGCGTTTTACTAAGGCAGATTGTCACAGTCACAATGTGCATTATTGACAAGGCGACAGCGAAGCACAACACAACAACTAATCGCTCAATGATACATGGGGCCTGTTCAGGGCACCAATTAGAGCAAGGGCCACGTATCAGCCACCGTTCAACCCATCTGCACAGCGGACTTGGGAGCCATGAGAGTGGATCAGGTGATGTTGACTAGTTGTACATAAGTATACATAGTATAATGTATAAATATATATATATATATATCGAGAAGTCGATTTATTTACTTATCTGTCTATATATATATACCTGTGTATGTATGTATACGTATATATATATATATATGCATTGTCTATATATAAACATTGTACATGTATTTGTACGTACATACTTGCTTGTATTGTGTGTCAAAAAATGTATGTTTGTATGCGCTTATGCATGCATGCATGCATGTACGTATGTACACACACGCAGCTATTATATGCATGTACCCATACAAACGTCTTAATCAATTGTAAATTAAGTCTCAAGAACCTTAAGCTTCCTGACACCAGGTCCCCTCACCCTAGGTCCCCTGGCCCTAGGTCCCTTGACCCTAGGTCCCTGGCCCTAGGTCCCTTGACCCTAGGCCCTGGCCCTAAGTGTCAGGTCCAAGTGGCCCGGGCCAGGGTCGCGGGACCTAGGGTCAGGGACCTAGGGTCAGGGGATCTAGGGTCGCGGCACCTAGGGTCAGGGGACCTAGGGTCAGGGGGGACCTCGGGCCAGCACACCGCACCTGGGACCTACGGCTCCCCTAGGGTCAGGGGACCTAGGGTCGCGGGACCTAGGGTCAGGGGACCTAGGGTCAGGGGACCTAGGGTCAGGGGACCTAGGGTCAGGGGACCTAGGGCCAGCACACCACACCTGGGACCTACGGCTCCCCCTAGGGTCAGGGGACCTAGGGTCGCGGGACCTAGGGTCAGGGGACCTAGGGTCAAGGGGCCCTAGGCAGCGGACCTAGGGCCAGCACACCACACCTGGGACCAACACCACACGTGGGACCTAGGGCCAGGCGACCTAGGTCCAGGCGAGCTAGGGTCACGGGAACGAGGGTTAGGTGGGCGAGGGCTGGCGAGGGGACTGGGGACGGACAACGAGGTGGACGGGACCTAGGGTCAGGGGACTTAGGGCGAAATCCTTGACGTCCCTAGGCCCCGGACCCACAGGGACGCGGACAATAACGCGGACACTGATGCCCAGCCATGCGGGCGCTGGGGCAAACGCTGACGCGGACCGGTGTGGAACCGTCCGGGCCTGACGCCGACACCACCTCTTTTGACATTATGTCCTGAATAGGTGTGTGCTAGGTCTCCTAGTCACTTGACCCTAGGCCCCCCCCGGTTCCTGCTAGGTTCCGGGTCTAGGTCAATGAACTTAGAACAACATTTCCTTTGACAGTGGTCATTTCCAACGCAAATCTTGTTTTAGGTTCCATGGATTTGAGTCATATGTATGATTAGCTGTGTGTGTTGTTTAATCACCGTGATCAAAGTAAATTTTCACGTGCACAGAGACATGAGGGTACACATATTTAATTTACATATGTGCACAAGATTGCACAAGTATGTTTCAAGGAAAACAACACTAGATGTAATTAATCAGATATACATTATATATATATATATGTAAGCATTTTTTGTATTTGCATATACACATATATATATATATATAGAAACAGTCAGAGTCAATGCACATACATATACTTATATATTTGTACATAAGCACTATACAAACTTATGCCTCTAAATAGACATACGTGCACAATACATTGTATAGAAAAAGACGAACAGTAGAAAAAAAACAAATAGATAGGCAAATAGATGTACATATATGTGTATATATATATATAGGTTTGCACACCCAGGTATACACACACATATACATGTATAAACACGCACATACACACATATATATATATACTGGAAAGTAAGTAAATGAATGAACATACTTGTTATATATGTATACTTATGTACAATTAATCAACATCACCTGACCCACTCTCATGGCTCCCAAGTCCGCTGTGCAGAGGGTTGAACGGTGGCTGATACGTGGCCCTTGCTCTAATTGGTGCCCTGAACAAGTCCCATGTATCATTGAACGATTAGTTGTTGTGTTGTGCTTCGCTGTCGCCTTGTCAAAAATGCACACTGTGACTGTGACAATCTGCCTTAGTAAAACGCATTTGATCAAATATGTTCATTCACTCAAAACCCCCAGGCTTCCCGACTGTGAACTACCTGAGTATGCGACTGGTTCTTCTGGCAAAACAGTTTCCCATCTCGAAGCCAAGACGTTTGGCAATCTGCCCACTCGCAGCGACAGATCATTTTGCAATGGTCACTTCGAAGCCGTGGGTTATATGGCCAAACAGCCAAGTGGGAAACCACATCAAAAACACACATTGCTGACATATGATTGGTTTGTTGTGGCTTGGAAGTAAACTCGTATTAAATTTGTATTTGGTGTAGTGTGAAATGACTTTAGATATTGGTTACAGCCCATCCGTCCGCAATCATCTTTGGTCTTTGGTGGTCCAGTGGTCATGTTGATCGTGTGTTGGTTAGTTGGTTTACATGATAACAGAGGTTTTGCTGGCATCACATATCATTATCCAGGCGCAAGGCAACATTCCTAACCTGACGTTGCATCATTTACCCACAATGCTTGTTTCTGATATATATAACATAGCAATATGAACAGCCAGTGCTTTTTGTTACAACATATCCATGGCTAATGATGCAACGCTTGTTTTGGAAGAAACCCATGGCGAACATATGCATTCCGAAATTTAGACAATAAACTTGATTTCATGCAGATCACTAGTCCATCAGGCCAATGCGCCAAGTTGTTGTGGTCAAGACTATTGTTTTGCAGGATCAGCAGATTCATTGCAGTGGTTAAAACTACTGTTGCCCAGGTTCAAAAGGTTCATTCTTGTGGTGAAAAACCTTCTCTTTTGCAGGTTCAAAACAAAAACATTCATTGTGATTTTTGAAAGCCATTTTCTACAGGTTCAAAAGTGTTGATAAACCATTATATTATACAGCTGGTAAATTTTTAACTACAAAAACAAAAAACACGTTCAAGTATATAAAGCACCATGAGCGGTTCATTGCAAAATTGATGCGTCGCTAATGCAAACAACAACATCTTTAAGCCCCCCCAAAAACTGAAATGCTCCCAAACAAACGAAAATACACACACACACAAAAAAAAACGATCATGACCAAACTCTTTTCCATTTTCCGCATTTTTAGAATTACCAGACCTGATCGCAACCTCCTAGTGTCGCTCAAAAGTGGCAGCTTCACGTACAGGCTCCTGATGTTGGGGCCTAGGGTCGGTCCAAACCAGCCTCCCTAGGCATCACCTAGCCACCCCTACTGGACTTCAATTTACAGAGGGATCTGGACAACCTTATATTTAATGGTAAAAACCATGGTTTCCTGTAGATTTCCTTAAACCAATCCAATGAATATAGCTGTATCCATGTTCGGAGAAATCTTGACACATCCGATTTTAGTTTTTAGTTCCTCGTTGAACTGGATCAAGGGAAGACAAAATATTTTTCCTGGAAGCCCCCTGGTTGCTGAGAAAAGCATTGGCTTCCTGATGTGTCCTGTGATGACTGTTTCCTCTACAACATTCTACTCCACCCACTGAAAGATGGCGAGTCACTAGGTCAAACACTATTTTACCATGAACATTTGCAACTACCAGTTATTTTGATGTGAAAACAAGTGTACCAGGGTTTCTTCCCATAATACCGAGGCCTCAACATTTGGTGCAGCGGGTGTCAGGCGCAGTGTTTCGTGAAAGGTTGAAAGCATTGAAATTGTGGAGTGAATCTTATCTTTTTGGGTGGGCCCAAACACTCAAAGATGAAAACATTGAAAAAAAAACAGAAATGGCCAAGTCTGTGAGTCTCTGGAACCATGTCACCATGTCCATGTAATGCATGTAGCTATGGCATGATCCTGGTCAATCTAGTGGTTTTTTCCCATATAGACCCAGCACAGCACGCGCCTCACCAGGTCGGGATGCACATCCAATGAACTGGAATCCGTATCGGTCCATGAGGTTTTCTGAATGATTGCATAGGTCATTTATTTGACATGTATATAATATCAATGTATAATAGTAATTACATATACGTAGTTATATCTCATTGTATTTGATTATATATAATTATTGAATATGATTATTAATGAATTTGTAATGTATGACTATGTATGATTGTATTGTTTTTGTATATGATGATACTCAATACTTGATATTTATTATTACTATATTTGATTCAACGTAATTAAACATAATCATATATAGCGTTGTATTGTTATATATACATATATATATATTCATTATTACATACGATGAAACATAATTATAGAATAATATAGAATCTAATTTTAACTATATATTTTGCACATAATTATGTTTGCATAGTATATACAACTATATATATATATTTATCTATGGCATGTCGTTACATGTCTATGATGAGGCACACACGGTCGCATATAATATATATATATATGTATATGTATATATGTATGTATATGCTAACGTGACGGGATATAGGGTTCTCACTAGTTGCTACGCCAACCTTTGGCTCAAGAACACCGCTGCTAAAATAGCGAGTTGCACATTCTCCGTTCATGGTAGCGGAGCGATACGCTCCAGGGTCTTAGCAATGGACCAACAACAAGCGGCACAGGTCCTCCAGTCGCTCCAGGAACTACAGACCGAGGTCAATCGACTAAGAGGCCGAGAAGCTGAACTGACAGCACAGGTCGCTTCTTTTGGTGCCGGTTCGGCTGCTTCAGCTGGACCTGGCAGTGCACTGGCACAGTTGGTGCAGTCACAAAAGGAGCTTGTGGACGCCCTTAGATCGAAAGAACAAGTCCGGTTGGTCGACAACAAGGGCCTTGGCAAGCCCGACAAGTTTGATGGGACAGCCGAAAGATTCTTGTCATGGAAAATCAAGACGTCCTCCTATCTTGCAAGTGTTCGCAAAGACATTCGTGAGATTCTGGTTTGGGCCGAAGATTGCGATCATGCAATCACTGCAGATGACATCGACAAGGCTTTTGGGAGTCAAGCAGATGCCATTGACCAGGTGTCGAACATCAGTGAATTGAGACGCGAGCTTTGGGACGCGCTGCTAATGCTGACAGAGCGTGAGCCCTTTGACATCGTGCTGAACACCGGGGAATGCGGCATCGAAAGCTGGAGAAAGCTCACGCGGAGGTACGACCCATCCACTGGTGGTCGCAAAAGCGCTCTCCTCAATGCAATCTTGTCACCGGCTCGATCCAAGATGGAAGATTTGCCGTCCAACCTGGAGAAGCTTCTTGACAGCATCAGACTTTATGAACGTCGCAAAGACGCATCTGGCAACCGAACGATGTTGGCAGAAGACATCAAGATCAACGTGATTGAACGATTGGTGCCGGCAGAGCTCGAGCGTCATCTCGTTCTCAATCGAGATCGCTTCAAGACGTTCGAGTCCATGCTGTCCGAGATCCAGTCCTATGTGGAACATGCCACCGGCAACAAGATCAAGGTGGTGAACAGCCAGCCCTACGACGCACATGGCCGTGGGGACGATCCTATGGATGTCGGAAGCTTTGGAAAAGATGCAAAGGGAAAAGGTAAGGGCAAGAAGGGAGCTGGAGGAAAACCTGGAAAGGGAAATGCAACAGCTGAGAAGAGGACATGTCACAACTGCGGACGCCCAGGACATCTGCGGGCAGATTGCTGGGCACCTGGAGGCCCCAAACATAAGGGGACGGGTGGCAAAGGCAACAGCAATCAGAATAAGGACAAGGGCAAGGGCAAAGGCAGCCCCGGAAAGCACAAGCAGAAGCCCAAAGGAGGCAAATCTGTGAACAATGTCGAACAAGGTGAACCAGAAGCAGAAGACTGGGACGCAGCTGATGGCGACGATGGTCAACAAGCAGCAAATGGTTTAATGCTCTATGGCGTTGATGGGCCACCACATGACGAGGATGACGACGAAAGTTTCCAGGTCGATCCCGAGTCCGAGGAGTCGGAAGCCTTGACAAGTCGCAGAAGGTGGTTTTCTTTGCCTCACCCACGTGCGTCATGGCCTGAAGAGTGGGACGACCCCGACTATGATGGACCGAGTGGATCGAGTGGCTCAAGACCCCTTCGGTCGCTTCGACTGGAGGAGGTCACCGAGCACGAGACCACTACATCCAAGTCCGCGTCTTCCAAGGCACCTCGAACGCCACAGGGAAGACCCAAGAGGGGCAGAAGTCCAAAGAGCTCAACACCAAAGAGAGGCAAAGCAAGCAGATCAGGGCCAGTCACTCCGGAGTCAGCACTCCGACGCTTTCGAATGACTTCGATGACACCACCACCAAGGAGAAGGTTGAGGCATGGGCCACAGACTCCAGAAGAACTTCTTCGTAGCTCTACCCCTTTGCCAAAGACACCCCCGACACCTATAGCATGGCCTGCATCACCTCCACAACAGCCGATAGCCTCGCCCAAGACTCCACCAGGACCACCACCAGGATGGCAAAGCCAAGTAGCTTCACCCAAGACTCCGCCATGTCCACCACCGGGATGGCAAAGCTCTCAGGTGAAGCCACACCACCTGTCAAGGCATCATCGGCAGCTTCGACTTCAGGTTCTCGACTTGTCCAGATGCTGAAGGCTGCGCTGAGTTCACAAATCCGCAAAGTCCAAGAAGAAGATCCTGGTTCAGGAGATGGCCAGGCAGATGCGATGTTAGCGGCTTTGAGGACTAGATCTGTCAAGGCACCGCACATCACAAAGCAGAACATCAGCGATCCTTCTTTCCACGACTCGAGATACCATGCCGAGATTGCCAAAGGTGTTGCACACAATGTGGCCTGGAGAAATGAACGTTTGAGAAGACGTGCAATCGTCCACCGACGAGGAGGAGTCAAGGCACGTGCGGCTGAAAGGATTCGACTTGACAAAGAATGGCATGAACGCTTTGACAACCCAGAAAATCCAGAAGGCATAGTGAGAATCGAGGATGAAGACAACTTGGATGCGGGCATCGAGACGGTGGTTGTGGGCAAAGCTGGTCAGAGCACAGTGATAGAGTTTTCAATGGAAGAGCGGAAAACTTTGAGGCAGTTCCCGGACGACGAGGCCAAGTTGCTGCGGAAGGATCCCAAGAAGAAACCCATGACCAAGCGTGTTCGAAGCGTTGGGTACAGGGTGAAGAAGAATCGCAACCGCAATGTGGCGCGCAAGATGGCGAGGAAGAACCGACCAGTCTTGGTTCTGAAGGAAAACACTGAAGTGAACGCAGATGAAGATGATGATGAAATGGAAGAGGTCTACATCGAAGAGCCTGATGAGCCTCGAGACCGACCAGGCAGAGGAGACCCCGATGGTGGAGCTGGATCGGCTCCTGCTGCAGTCTACAGCTTGGGGGCCTCTGACGACTGGCGAAAATGGGAACGAGCAGAGTTGAACATCGACACCGGTGCTGCCATCACTGCAGTACCACTTGACTTCGCCAAGGACTACCCGAGGAGCGAGTCCAATGGAGCAAGCTACAAGGCAGCCAATGCGGAACCCATCGAAGATCAGGGAAGTGTGAAGCTGGTGGGATACGACGAATCTGGCAACAAGATCCCAATCGATTGCCGAGTTGCAGATGTGCATCGGCCACTTCTTTCAGGTTCCGAGATCGCCAAGAACTACCACATCGCCCTTGGACCATCTTCGGGGAGATTGATCCCAAGAAACACTCCTGCGGGACGGGCCTATTCGAAGGCCATGAAAGATCTGATCCGAGATTATGGCGATTCAATGCCCATTGTGCACAATCGCCGAGGCATCTATGTGTTGGACTATTGGGTGTCACCTTTTCAGGGGCATCCTCAAGAGGAGTAAGACCACAAATCAACGCTGTTGGTGAGGATCCAGCTGTTTCAGCCGGAGCCGATGCCATGGAAGATGGAGGCGATGTTTCAGCCGCTTCGGCCGGAGCAGGGTCCTCAGGCGATGTTCCAGCTGCTTCAGCCGGAGCAGATGCCTTTGAAGATGAAGTTGATTTGGAAATCGGTGAAGAACAGAGGAAAGCCATTGTGAAGAAAGAACCACATCAACCATCCCAAGCTGAAGTTGACGAACATGAAAGCACTGGACATGTTGTCCATCGGAGCTGGTGCTTGCACTGCAAAAGGGCACGTGTGACTGCTGATCGCCATGTGCCTAAGGAACTTGATGAGCCAGAAACGCAGTTGCCCACGCTGAGCCTGGACTACTTCTATATGAACCAGGACCAGGTTGCGGATGAGGCGACCGTTCCGAGCATTGTGGCGAAGTGCCACAAGACCAAGAGATTTTGGGCGAGCGTTCTCCCGGGAAAAGGGGCGGATGCGTTCGCAATCGCGTGGCTTGGGGGAGTTTTGGATGATGCTGGTTTTAATAAGGTAATCCTTAAGTCTGACGGTGAACCCTCCTTGGTATCCCTTAAACAGAAGGTTAAGGAGATAAAGACCCACATCGAAGTGCACTTGGTGGAAACCCCAGTAGAAGACCATCAAGCCAATGGGTTTATCGAAGTGGGAGTGCGAGAGATAAAACGACAATGTCGTGCTCTCCTCAGCGACCTGGAGTTCAAGCTGGAAAGGAAGGTAGATCCGGGCCATCCACTTTTGGTTTGGCTCCCGCGGCATGCTGCCTTTCTCTTGACGAGATACCGAGTAGGTACTGATGGAAAGACCGCTTTTGAGCGGACCTATGGACGAAAATGGCGGATTCCGCTTGTGAGGTTCGGTGAAAGCATCCTGTATAGGCCGAGGGCCAATCGTGGGGGCAAGAGAAATGACCTTGCTCCAAGGGTATCCATTGGGATGTACGTTGGAACTGGAAACAGAAATTCAGACGTCTTTGTCATGACGGAACGTGGAATCATGAAGGGGAACTCGATCCATCGACGCCCACCTGACGATCAGTTCAAACATGATCAGTTTGACTCGCTACGTGGCCTTCCTTGGAGGTTGCAAGAACGAGAACATGGTGGACTGAGGATCGCCCTTCCCGATGTTGCAGCGCCTCGTGAAAGGCCTGCAGTGCAAGAAGTGATCCCAAGGAACCTCTATGTCACCAAGAATGACTTGGAAAAGCATGGGCACACACCTTTGTGTCCTGGATGTGAAGCAGCAATACTTGAGATGCCAAGCCGAGCTCACAATGCTGAGTGCAGACAAAGAATCCAGATCGAACTTGACAAGACTCCAGAAGGTCAAGAAAGGATCAAAAGAGCGAGAGAGAGAGAGTTGCACAAGGCAGGCGCCCAAGAGGCGCGGCTGCACCGCCTGAGGGTGGTGGGGCAGAAGGTGGTGAAGCTGCACCACCAGTTGTCCCAGGAGGGGAAGTTGAACAACCAGTCTTGCAAGACCGTGTTCCTTTGGATGCGGAAATGGATGCAAGTGAGGCTGTTGGTGAACCACTGGTCGACACCGATTTTCGTGGAGAACTCAGACAGAGAGAACAAGAAAGAGAAGGAAGCCCAAAGAGGCAGAAACAAGAACAATCCCGAGGAGAGAAAAGGAGTTCACAAGTCGACGTTGAAGATCTTGACGATGAATCTTCAGCTCAGGCTTCAGGGTCAGCCGGACCACCGGCACCGGATGCTTCATCTGGTGTTCCGGAAGGTGCTGCCGCTGCACCAACAAGTCCTGAGACAAACCAGGAGATGCTACATCTGTGTTCCTTGCTCAAAGATGTGATCGCAAAAGGGAAGGTTGCTGAGATCTTCTCTCCACCGCGTGTGGCTGCACAAGCCCAAGTGGTCGGGCTAGCACCTGGCTTCTCGATTGACTTGGAGACAAAGCGTGGTGATGGAACTCACTGGGACTTGAGTAAAGATGAACACATTCGTGATCTGTTTCAACTGCTTGACTATGAGAAACCAGAGTTCCTCGGCGGCTCACCTCCCTGTGGGCCATTCTCGAAGCTGCAAAGCATTGTGGATGCGAAGGGCAATGTTTCACCTGAAGTTCGAGCGCAGAGACTAAAAGATGGTCGCAAACATCTGCGCACGGCAGTTTCAGCGTATGAGCATCAAATGAATGCTGGAAGGTACTTCTACCATGAGCACCCTAAAGGGGCCGCTTCGTGGGAAGAGAGAGCTGTGAAGAGACTGAGGGCAGATGAACGGGTGTATGAGGTCACTGGACCAATGTGCCGTTGGGGAATGAAGGCCGCCGATGGCCAAGGTGAAGGGTCAGTGAAGAAAGAAACTACCTGGCTCACGAACTCTCCAATCCTGGCACAGACCCTACAAGGGTGCTGTTCAAACAAAGAAGGCAAAGTTTGGCACCGCCATGTACATCTTGTTGATGGACGAGCCCGAGCTGCCCAGAAATACCCACCAAAGCTTGTCCACGCAATTCTCAAGGCCATTAGGCGCCAACTGGAATGTGATGGAGAACTACACTCACTTTCACATGGCCCAGTACCCGATGCTGGACCT